AAATGTGGATTGCTCGTTGAAGCTAACCATTCAACAAAATATGGATCGCTCGTTGAAGCTAACCATTCAACTGCAAACTCAGATGGCTGAGCTTTGAGACAAATTCTGAGTCGATTTCATCCGTGGAGAGCATCCATTCGACCGTCAAGTCCAATTGTTTTTCAACCTTTTGAGTCAAAAGAAAACTTCTCGAGTACAACATCAAGTTGTCGTTTGCTGTTGTTGTTTCACAAAAGCCCTTTAAAACTAAACTAGTTGGAAAAATCATAATTCTCTTTTAAAAAGCCACATCAACCCCTATTATACCGTTCATTTCCTTCAAGCTCTGACGCCAACACCCACTTTCACATTGAAACTGCTAGTTATTATTAATAAAATATTATTTTGAGCTTCCCTGGTAACACGGGTAGGGGTGGTGCCTTATTTTTAAGATTAAGCTTTGAAGTCGATAAAGATGTAGAACCGAAATTTGAATTTTTTTTTGCTGGGGGCAACCCTCTTGCAGGTGCAGATTGAATGCTAGTCGACTCATCACCATAGTATCCCACATGACGGGTTTCCCTTCGATAGTTGTGAACGTTCAGTGTTAAATAGACGAAATAAATTACCAATTTTATCCTCATGCTTTTCTAGATGTGTTCAAATTGTGGCGTGGAGCCGCCTGTTGCTGTTAAAGTATTTCCGAATGGTATGTTTCTATCTTGACTTTTCTCGCCACAACAACAACAAATGTGCCTTCATGTGAATAGGGGACGCGATGGCCTCGCGGTCAGTGCGCTGGACTCCGGCTCGATAGGTATGGGTCAGAGACTTGGCTGGTTGTGTTCCTGGGTGAAACACTACACGTTTTCAGTGTTTCTCTCCACCCAGTAACGCTTGCGATGAACTGGCATGCCATGGGGGTGGGGGGAACGCAGGGTTAGTAATAATATTGCTAGTCGTATTATTTTAAGGAAACCGGTGACTGTAATAAGATACAGCCCTTCAATGTTAGTTACTTTCGTTTATGTGAGGATGTTCAATTTTTACCTATTTGTCTGTTTGCAGCCTCGCGGTCAGCGGCAGGTCTGTTAGAATGGAACAGTCCGTCCCAGGCCCTTGACGCTTTGGCAGCGTGCAATCATTACGTGATTCGTGATCCCGGTACAGTGTTTTTCAAGTTTGTTTAACCTGTTTGCAGAAAACTTTCTCGGTTTGTGATGAACGCTGTTTTTGCATCTTTTATTTTGCTCTAAGATTTCAGATCTGATTTTTTTTTTGCTTTTCAGCTGCCAAAACCATCTTCACAGTCAAACTTGCCTTCTCATCCATGTCCAGTGCCCAATGAGAAGTCACAAGCGACCTGTCCCACCCCGGACGATTTGCGTTGAGCGACCCTGTAGGAGGGTGCGAAAGTATTGAGTAGATAACGTACTTTGGATACCAGCAAGAAAAGATATAGACTTACGTTTAAAGGAAAAGAGAAATTGAGATTTATTTTAGATTCCTTGTTGTCCCAGTATTTTGAGGAAAAAAAGGTAAAAACTATCGCCATACGGTTGTTGATCAGATATTAATTGAACTAGATGTGTTAGTTTATTTTTTATTTATTTTATCTGCAACTTGGGACTATTAGAAGCAAAACTGATCTTTATATGCCATAGAGTGTTCGAGATGGTTTTAGTAAAATTGTTGATTTGAGTAAAGAGAAGCGCGCTCTAATTTGAAAGGATCGTGTCTTCATGTAAAGCTGAGACGCTGTGACTGGTCTGTGTGACAAACTGCAAAAGAATTTTTTTTTTTGTATTTCCAAAGCGAGAAGCAGCGACTCTTTATCTGATTGGTGATCATCGCACACAAATTAACAGGGTAACAGGTTAACATTAACAGGGTTTTAACAAGAAATTTCCTTTTACACCTCGTTAATTGACCCTGAGACTGTTTCCCTCCCATTGTTGCAGTGACCTGTCGCTTACTGGCTGCATGCTAGCTGATTATTAGTACTTAAGCTGTACTTTGCAATCTAGCTTTTTTTCTGAAAGAAAGGGATAGAAACCCAAAAAACGTCAATGCTTAGGAAACGCATTTTCTCTGATTGTCATCTGAGTATTTCTCAGGCTAAGTGAATGTTTTTATAGGCTTGTTTGTCGCCGTTTCCACGGAGAGAAGCGCGGGCTCATTTCCACTCAACGGTTGGTAATCGAGCCAATGTTTTCCAATAACGGTTGTGACGGCTGTTCTAAATATTTGTGGATCTAAAAACACTCATTTCAAATTAGCATTTGTCGGTGGCTCAAAAATTAACTTGGATAGATAAACGAATGGCGCGCTGTGAGGGCCTTTCCAACGAACATCCAATTCAATACAATTTGATCAACCATTTTACTGTTAAAATGTAAGTGCACCTTTTATAGAACATCGCATGAAAAAATGAAGATAAAAATTGTAGTGCCTACAGAGAGACCGCCTTGAAACGCAAACCTCAACGTTTATAACATAGACAGAACATATCTAAGGTTGTATATAACCTAGCTCTCGTTTACGTTTACATTCCTCAGCGATAGAGTCAGTGTGATTATCTGAAAAATCCTTAAGCATTTAGTGCGAGTTCAGCGCCTAAGGTGGACTTGAGTTGAAGTTCGGTGGTGTCACTGACATGAAGTTCTGTGGTGTCACAGTTGGTTCATAGCCTTGCTCCAAAGGTTTCTTGTATGGGTTGGCCGGTGCTCTAGAGCAGTGCTGCGTTGTAGAAGTGTTTGATGACGTGCAGCGGTGATTTGGATTCATCGTGAAGTCACCATATTCTCCGAAATTCGTTTCGCCTTCGATTCGACCTGGTATTCCATCAACCTCACAGTCTTCTAATGTGCTATCGTAACTCTCTATGTGCCAGGATACATGTGCTATCTGTTTTGTCAGGGCGGTGCAATTAGAACAGTTGTTTTTCTCGGATGTTAACATATTCATAGATCTGACAGCCAACACAGTCACCAAAACTGTCATGACCTGCCAGCTTAGCACGTGCGTAGTCCGTATACTGCAGACTAGCAGTAGGAAAGTTACAAGTTGCTCTCAGATGTATGGATTGTTTAGCAAGAGACTGTATCTGTGATAAAGATAGTCGGTACCCGTTCCAATCCACTTCTCTTTTGTCATTCCTTGTCTCAAAAACCCTTTGTTCTTTAAAGTCGGAGTCGTAAGAGCGCTTATGACCTAGTGAAAATCGTAAAACGGAGTCATAAGCTCGACGGAATCGGAGTCGGAAGAATCAGAACGTTCCCATTTTCTTCCGATTCCGCTTAGGACTCCATCGG